ATTTGTTTAAATTTAAAAAAAATCACAAATTTAAAATGATATACAGAAATATGCGTTATACTTATAATTCGGATATACTTGTATACATACATACATATTTATTTATATATGTACATATATGTATATCAAAATTTATTAAATACATATGTACATACATATATACTAAGGCATGTGAGTTTTTGGCTTCAGTTTTCAAGCGATTGAGTTAATTTTCCTGTGAAACAAAATATAGCATATGGTAAGCATATAAAAGTAATCTATTCGGAGTGATGAAGTCGAAAGATATTTCCTATAATATTACAAGGAAACGTGTGTCAAAAAGAAGAATAAAGAAGAAGAACGAGCGCCTATATTAATAGAAAGAATGCTTGGCTAAATTACGTCCATTTGGTGTTATCACAAAAATTAAGGGCAGGAGCTTATATTAGGATTGCTGGTCAGAGCGTTGATCAGAATTTACCATATAACTCCTTTACATAACTTTGTTGCAAACTTTAAGCCTTTAGAAAGGGAATTGTGTCACAAAGACAGTGAAAGCTAAATGAACTATTCTAGACAACGAAGTGACTTTAGATCGGTTGCGTTTTTCCACCTAGTGTATATTCAAGTTCTATACCGTACATATGGTGTAAAAAACCAAACTAAAAAGAAATAGGTTTTTGGAACACTTATGTTGTTTGTTTACATGGTGACGCTATAAATTCAACAAAGCTCTTGCTCAAGTTTATTTAGCATTGTGTGTAATATCAGTATGAATTTCACTTACCATGAGTGAGTATATTAACGGTTTCATTGTGCCAGGAAAACAAGCTCCACAGACAGCCACGGAATGTTGTCAGGGGTCGGTAGCCGTTCAGCACATATGGATTGAACTGCAAATATTTTGGCATATCCTGCCATTTCTGTAGCTGCTTAGTGGAATTGAATGCGGGTGTTTGCGTTGTTACGAGTGACTTTAGATTTAATGAACTTTTCGATGACTGCACGATCGATGTGCTTTCCGAATTCATACTAGGTGTTGATGATGTCAGCGATGATGGCGATGACAGTGGCGACCGCGGTGTCGATCCTAAATGTTCCTCGTTTGCAGTATGTGGTGGAAGCCCTCTAATAGGGAGTACATCTCGGTGTTCGGCACGTTCTTTGCCATTTAAAGCTAATGTATCTCCTGATGTCGAGAACGTAGCACCAGCGTCAATGTTAAAGCCATCGAAACAGCTTTCTACAACCAGTGTTTGTCGTCGATCCATTTCTTGCTTAATACTAATTGGTGTTGCGATCACAGACGATATAGTCGAATTAGAACTTGAATTACTGCTGGAACTTGAGTTAGAAATATTGGATTGCCCAGACCCCAACTTAAATTCTGTATTCGGCATGGTATTCGACATTGAATTTGTTGATATGACGACAGAGTTTTTCTCTATTCTCTTTGACGGCGATGCTTGTGGTGAAGGAGACGGTGTAACAGACATACGGTCTGTGTTGCTACCAAGATATTCAACTATATCAATGGGATGTGAAGTAAAACTTCCAACCTTGTTTGTGGTAGTTCCTACAGTAGCCGGGCAACCGTAGTTCATTACCGAGGTCCCGATGCTATGGCCCACACCGACGCCCACTTGCAAACGGTGGCGCAGCACACTCGTTTGTTCCAACATTGCCACTGGGTTCAGCAAAACGGTTGGCGTGAAGTTCCCGGCTGACGTTACATCATGCGATAAAAGTTCGTCGCAACTGCCTGCACTCGTTATATCGCTTTGCGTGATTGTGGTGGTCGCGACACCGTTGTTGTTGCTTTTGGTACCATTGCAATCAGCAGCAGTTTGCATGGCTCATCAATAGTTGAAACTTCAAAGATTAAGCGAATTCAATAAACCCGTAATTGACTCAGCATTTTAAGGCTCCTAAGTAATAAGTGCTAGGAATTTTGTACATATGTAAGTGTTAATCGTCAACATTCATGGGTCTGGTAATTAACTCTAATTAAGCTGCAAAAAATAAAAAAAAATACACATTTATGAGTGTTACCTCTGCAAATTATATTGAATTGATTACACACATACACACATAATAACTATATCCTCGGTGGAAGGTAAAATAACACTTTTTTAAAACACTTTAAAGTCAGAGGAGAAGTCAAAATCGATGAAATTCACTACATCGCGCATATTACGAGTAGGGGAAGATAGTAATTTAAGTTTTCAAGGGAATATTTTGTCATTTCGCAAATATTTACTTTTATTAGGTCTATTTCTTTCGATTATTTCATTGGTGTTTGAGTTTATGCTGTAATATGAAAGAAACAGACGAAATTTAAAATTTTGTCATATGAAAAGTATAACCACACAGTAAGATAACCCTATCAATATGATGTTATATTTCCCCTGACTCTTATGAAGCCTTTGCTTACCATCTTATTTATGAAATTATTGACGACGTCAACTGTTAATTGAATAATTTTTTAATGCATTGTTTGCAAACCTGAACCGTTAGATAAACAAAACTATTAAACGCTGTAACAATAACTTGGAGAGTATAAAAATTGAAACTGATTGAAACAAAATTTGGTTTTTAGTTATAACTTGGTTATATCTGATAGCAGAAGCTTTTGTACATTTATATGTATGTATGTATGTATATGTGATATGATGTGTGAAATGATATGTAATCAATAAAAACTGAAACACATATTTTTTGATTACTTGTTGTTTGGCATCTTCTAGTTATTCTTACACTTTTAATTGAGTTGGTAAGTGCAAAATATAGAAAATAAATAAGAGTATATACATAAAAATAAACAGTGTTGCATTTTTAACTCACTAATCAATACGCTCCTGTTCAAGCGTTGCATGGTTTTTATATATTTAATTAATAAATGAATAAATTCATATTTTCACTGTCTTTAGTTCACCGTTCATTGTGTCAAATTAATTTACGCTAGAAATATATAAATATGTTCAATAAATCATTTAGAAAATATATTGAAAATGAACTATTAATTTTTTGGTAATTCTAATCACAAAAATAAATAATAATAATATTTGCATAAGGATTTATTTGTTTAACTATATTTTTGCTTTGTTCTATGTATTCTTAGACCTGTGAGGCGAATTTGATCGTTGCACAATCATAAACAACACCACTACCGTGGACGTATGTACATTTCATTTGAAAAAGCATAGAACATTTCGCTTTTCAAACATTACTTTACCAATATCCATATATGTATGTACATATGTAGATACATATAAATATATATGTGTATTTATGTACAAATTAAATATATTTAGAAAAAAAATTTGATTGATTGAAAAATGAGTAACATATTGCAAATAAAACACTATATTTATAAAGTAACATTTAATTTCTATTTACCAAACACCTAAAGAATTTTTTGACATTTTACTAATATATCCAGTTAAGTCGTTTCCTCATTGGGTGTGTATATGAACATATGTACACATATAGCATGAGTAGACGATAAAGGTGATTCAGAATGGAAACACAATACATGTGTACATATATGTAAGTATGTATGAAAATGGAGTAACAACATGCCACCTATATGTACGCCTATCGATCATAAAAATTGATGCGAACGCTTGGAATATGCCCCAGCACTAATTTTGTATGAACGGTTTGGAAGTGTGTTAATATCCGAAAGTACGTATATTGGTATATTTAAAAAATTGTTTTATTACCACCATAATCGAGATGTTGATATATCATATTCCAAACATAATGGCATGCACAAAAACCATAGTTTCATAAATACCTTGTACTCGGGTACCTCATAATTTGGTTTTATTCTATTTCAGTATCAAAAGTCATATTTTTGATTCATTATTGGTTTGGGGTTTGTAATTGATTTTTTCTTTACGTTTAATTACTATATAATCACGTGATATTTACGCACACTTTATGCACATGGATTGTTATATTATTAGGTGTTTAAATGCTCACTGTTAAATATATTCACATTCTGTACGTATAGTAAGACGCTAATTTCACAGCTTTATCATACCATCATTTGAACATTAAATATTAATTCAATTACTATCACTTTATATAATAAACAAATATACAAGCCAAATTGCGCGTATAGCAGGAATTTGCTGCAAACGATTTTACCTTTTTCATCTTCTACCATCTCCTACTTCGAAAAAAAAATTTGGCAAAAATGTCTAAACATGCGCATTAAATAGTCACTTCGAGGTTTTGTTTTGAAATTTTATTTTCACCGTTTTTTTTAATTTAATTTTATGCATCAAGATTTTGTTTTATTATTTATTTCTATTTTTTTAAATAATTGTTATTTATTCTTTTAATATGTTTCCGTTATATTTTTACATAGAGTGCTGAGTACAAAATCACTTCCGGCTAAACTGCTAGACACCTATCCAACTAACCAATTTCAATGTACACTGTAAGATTTAGTTAACATTCTGCGGCTATTAACTAGTAAAATCAATTACTTTCAAGTAATATACAACTGTTTTATTAAAAAGTAAATGTACATCTTTTTATTATTATCAGAAAAACATATTTATTAACACTGGGACTAAATAAACTAATTTTGAAACCACTGTCTGTTAAATGCATCTGCATTAATATGGTAGCATTATGAAGTTACAATCACTTTAATCGTAGCAAACTTCACAATGTAAACACAAAAAAGTGTAAATTGTGAAAATCGTTTACTTTTGTTTACCGAAAATTAAAGAAAATATATACATACATACGTTTGTACATTTTATTAAAACTGTTTTGTTATTCCTCAGTATATTTAATCATCATGTTAAGAAATGCTGCACCTGCAATTTTATTTTGTAGTTTACTTTCTATACATTTTCTTCGCAGATAAGAGAAGGAGACAAACAAGTTGTAAATATCCATCATTTTTACACATTGGTTACAAAAACAGTTGTAATGTAATTGGTTTAGAACAAAAAAATGCATGCTCTTAATCCAATTATTCAAAACAGTTACTCAAATATAGTAAGTTGGAAGCAATATAACAATAATTTTAATTAATATGTTGAAAGTGGTTAAAAAGCATAACTGCAAAATACTTTTCATGGTGAATTTGTAACCCTAGCATCATTATGTGTTCAATCATATTCAGCGTGCTTGTGTAAGTGAAAAAACTGCAATCTTTGAATGTGATTGACGTTTGCATTTAGACGCGAACAAGTAGATAAAGTGCAAAGAGACAAAAATTAGCATCGACAAAAAAAAGAAAATAAATAAAAAACGGAAAGGAGTAAAGGACAGAAAAGGTCTAAAACTTGAATAAAGTAATTGGGATTACAATAAAGCATTCTCGCTACACCATTTTGAGAAATTACGGCGACTGGCGTTGAAGTTTAAGGAAAAATTGCACAACTTAGGTCGATGTTTATGCGTATACAGGAACCGGCCATTAAAACTTGGAAGCGCATTACAAATCTGGTGAATACGCTTTGGAATAGATTATATCTACCTGCTTCGCCGTTTTTAGCGCTCACATATCCATCTTCGCAAATAATAGCATCTGAGGTGAGTATTATTTCTTTCATGTTAATTAAAAGTGTTCGGATTAATGTTTGAAGTGAGCGAAACATAATTACTCTTGAATAATTTCTAATTACATTGTAGTATATATTTTTTTTTAAATGTGTACCTGCTAACAAATTCTGGGTTTCTCATTGCTCTAGTTAACGAAAAGCGCGCAAAGTTTATTAACAAAATTATTCACCACGAGAATTTTGCTATGTAAATAAAGCTTTTTTCGAAATGTTTTTGCTTATGCCTGCAAAGCCATATTAACATTAAATTTTCCTCATGATTGTTTTAAATTGCTTGCCTTGTTTTTACGGTGGTAAATATGGTGAATATTTAGCAATAGTGCCCTCTGCTGTTAAAATAGGAATTGTTGAATGTCACATTGTTCACATTTGACAGCTATTAGGAATGTCAATCTGAATCTCAATGCATAGTGTGTTTGGATTTATTGGTATTGAGAATACGTGAGATTTTAATATTAAAGTAAAGTTTTGATTTCGTGGTTGGATAACTTTACTAGTTGTGAAGTTTGTGTTTCTTTATATTATTTATTATATATGTTTGAATAAAATACCATAATCTTGCACGATTTGCACAAAAATTGTTTGCATATTTTCACTGGTATTGTCGGCGCGCATACAGACATACGCTAGTTATAAAAAAATCAATCTCGAGTGCTGCTTGCTAAAACAAGTTTTGGGATTTTTTTTGCTTAGATAGAAATTTGTGAAAAATTCGGTAGGAGAACCAATCAAAAGAAACTGAAAGCGAAGAGGTAATTTCAATACGAGGAGGTGGTGTAATTTTGAAATTGCTATGAACATTTGAGAATGCTGCCACAAAAAAGTGGTGGGCTTTGCAAAGCGAGTCAAAATAGTAATCAAGTTCTAAAAGTAGAGTATAGGTTGTACAATTTTTGAATATTTAAGAAAGGAAGTGTTTTTATTAGCGTTCTCTTGAAGATATATTGTTGATCATTTGTAGTTTATTTGTTGTTCTGCCTTCTCAAATGTGAATAAGAATTGATTTAATGTATAATAAAAGTATGACGTCCTATACATACATTTCTTCCTTATCAACAATTTCCATTCTTTCCTCTTCACATTAGTAATGTTTTGTAGAATTGAACAATTGAGAAATTTTAAATTATTAAAGCAAAAATGTTCTTTTTGCTAACTTGATGTTTAAAAATAGTAGTTTTTTCCAAAATTGTCCTAGGAAATTGATACATACCAACCTTAAGCCAATAATTATTTGGAAGCTATTTATTTTAGTGCATTTTTATCTATATGTTGAACAGAAGACGTTTGCTTCGAATTTAGCAACTCTGAAGTTTATAGATAAACTTTATAGAGTCTTGGATGTTGCTATCTTCGAATTAAAGGTTTTATATAAATCGTCAGCGTGACGAGTTAAGTCGATTTGGCCATATCTGTCTCTTTGTGGGTCTGTCTGTAAACACGCGACGTAGTCTCTCAGAAACAAATTCTAGATACATCCCTGATCTGGCTGTGATATTTGACCATTATAGCATATACTTTTCGTATAAACATTTCCGATAAAAATAAAGTACTTTTATAGACAATATTTTATTTGAAAAAATATCTTCACGAAAATTCTCATACATTATTGCCCAAGGAAACTCTGCAATCTCTGACCACATTTCATGTTCAGCGTTCCATATAAGCTGATCATTCAAAATCAAGTAATGATCATCATAAAATATTTATTTTTTCTTATTAAATAAGCTTGATAGCTGTGTTTCGGAATTTTGAATGTATTCAAATATATTGTAGATGCCTAGGACACGTAGACGTCATCATTCCAACGATCGTTCTTCGGGTGGTCATAGAGATAAGCGCAGAAGAGTGGACTCTGAAGAGGCGTCGCCTCTGCCAAATGTCGCCTCATCACCGTAAGTAATTCTTGATTTTTAAAGACATAGTTGCTTTAATTTTTAAATATTTTATAATCTTATTTTTATAGACCACGTGCCAGATATACACGTT